ATATATATATAGATAGATATAGATCTATATATGTGTATATGTGTATATGTATAGACTTAGTACTATTTCTAGAAGAATAAAGTCACACATTATGTACAAACTCCTGGATTATTAGCTATGCTGAGGAAAGACACTCCAGGGCCATGTATCGATCAGGTTCTGATCACCATCTCTGAGCTAATGATGACTAGACTACCTGTCCGGTCTGTCTCCCTTTGATGTAAGACTATTGAGCATCATTAGGTTCCCATAGCTAAAACTCATGTCCCTGGCATCTCTCAGCATTTATCACAAGTGCTGTTTGTATCATTAACAGGGGACATGGAGCCCTCTGCTTAGTGGAGACTGGCTCATTGCTCTACTCATTTACACAAGTGTAGGCACCACCATCTCTAATGGTGGGAAAGGTCTCTGGTGGCCTTTTGTGACGGCGCTTAGGTGGTTTTATACCTCCTGGGGATTTTGGTGAAATTACACATTTGAATGGCCCATTACGCTCCTAAATAGAAATGGAAATGTTGTTTGTGTCCCTTAACTCGGTGACAGATCATAAAATGCTGATGTCTTTCTCCAATGTGAATCAACTCTTGTAATGTTGTGGTGATGGGTAATATATGCCATGTAATGATCGTGTCTTCCCGCACAGCGATCTCCGCCTGTATCCGTGTTCATGGTACCCCTGGCTGTCAGGCTGGTCCTCTACTTGGTAGGAGGTAGTGTATTGATTGTAATGAATCGTAGCACTTCCTATTATAAGATAATGGTCGTACAGATATTGATCCCACTGGAAAGCATGTCTGCAGTGCCACACAGCAAGTCAATCCTGTGCGAGAGGACTATATTAAATCATTGTTACCATTCAGAAGCAACATGTAATCAGTAATATTTTTCCATTATTAAAAAGAAAGATGTGAGAAGTCAGTGCTTATGGTAATATGTATGACATGTATAAACTTTCCATGGGTTGTTTTCTGTGTGATCCATGGGCTTTGTTTGATTTACTGACGTTAAGAAGGAGAATGGCTTTAGGTTTACCTAATTAGAGAAAATTAGGCTGTTTTACTAAATGAGTTGAAAATGTTCACTCAAAAAAGAGAATAGATTAACTTTAATTATCCAATCTTCTGAAAAGGAAATTCCTGATTATGTATTTCATCTGAACATGACTGGATAATTGAAGTGCATTTCCATTTTTTTTCTTCTCCTGAACTTCTTTAGTATATCAGCCTCTTTGTGTTCCCATCATATGACGGATTAGGCTACAGAAAATCCATATATATTTCTGTCTTTCCTTGATCTGATTCACCTTCATGTGCACCTTCCGGAAGCTTTTCTGATCATACAATAGGATCGTACTTGCATTTAGGTCGTTTCTTGTGAGTATAAAAAATATTCAGCGATTGTCAATATTAGAAAACCATGCAGGGTAAGGATTTAACCGTCACTTATAAATTGTATAATGCACCGCTTGCTGAGGCGGTTTATACATCACATGATTAAATCATAGCTCAAATCAGTGAATTTGATTATAATTATGTATAATTTTATATTCCCCCTCGTTGTTTTTACCAGCAATACTACACCGTACATCCCAACCCGTTGAGGAATACAAACAAATATGAAGTTAGTAGAAGAATGACAAAAAAACAAATAAGTCAATTCCAAATAGTTTTATTTGAAACAAAGTTGGTTCATAATAAATATGTTGATACTTATCAAGAATATAAAAAATAAAGACACGAGCTCTCTTTGAGGCCTAACAAAATAGTTTGAAGCAAATGCCCAGGGACTTAAATAGTTAACGAAAGGAAAATGAACGGATACGACAAGATCGTTGGAATCATTTGGAAATACACGTCCATGTTCGTGAGAGTAGTCTGATAGACTGTAGGTGGTGACTAGTGAGAGCAGTTCTCCGCGTTGAAGACAAGGAGGGTGAGAACCTGGGCAGTCCTTTGTGACAGCTTCATACTGGACACCAGTAAGGGACATATACTAGACCTGGGGACAGACGCTGCTTACAGTCCAGCCTCTTTCTAAAATGTACAAAGTCGATTACACACTCCTTAGATTTCAAAGAATTCACTAATAAAAAAAATCCTTGTTACAAGGAAAATTGCATGGTAGCCAGGCAAACGTATCCACAAGACTAGTTCCTAGCATGCATGCCTTATTTTCAGTTCTCTGGTACAAATTAAATATACAGTTATGTCATAGTCTTGTAAAGATGTAATGGATCAGGGGTCATAGAAACCTTGTTCAACATCTCATTATATAATCATATGATGACATCAATTGTACATACAAAAAAACAACAATACCACAATTATCCAGCTGAACTTTACCTTGATGGGCATTGATAACAGAACTGAGGATGGTAACAAAACAGTGGTATAGAAAATAAAAGAAGCATGCATGCAAAAAGAATTGCTTGTCTGAGTCTTCCTGCATCAAAACAAATATATACCTATATATATATATTTATATATTCTTATATATGTCATTCATCTGTAGTCTCTGTGTAGTCTCTGTGCTGGTGACACTACTTCAGTAAGTCCTTGGGTTCTGCAGAAATTCTACTCATGCTGCTTGCGAGGGCAGAGAGCTGGGGTGGTGGTGGCATCTGACAGATCGTGCAGGGGCATGGCAGACCTGCCCAGTGCTGGAAGCCACTGCCAAGGGGCAGTGGAGGGTTGGAAGGGGTTTTCAGTAGTGGATGTGCCGGTCTGATGTTGCCAATCCCGGGTAAAGTGGCAGAAAGGCCAGAGTTGTTGGATGTCAAAGCGCTGCCCAGGATGGGGTGCACCTGGTGGACTGTGTTAGCTGGGTGGACAGGATGAGCGGCAGAATGTCCCACTGTCCCACAGTGAAATGCTGAATGGTGACCCCCATAGATCTCACCCACAAGTCGTTTCATCTCCTCCAGGGAGCTTGTCAACATCAGTATATAGTTTCTGGCAAGCAGCAGGGTGGCGATTTTGGAAAGTTTCCTCACTGAAGGCCCATGGGCGTATGGCATGACTTCCCTCAGGCCGTCCATGGCAAGGTTCAGGTCGTGCATCCTTTTACGCTCCCGGCCATTGATTTTCAGCCTTAGCTTCTGCAAGTCATGCTCAGTCAGCTGCTTCTTGATTTTGTATTTGCCGCTGTCTATGTCCTCCTTTGAGCCGTGTCTGGAGAGGACTTCATCTGACATCTTCTGCATGAGGTCGTTCTGAGTTGAGGAGACCGAGTTGAGTCGGTTGTCCTGGTGGTGATGATGGTGATGGTGGTGGCCTCTGAGATATATCTCATCCATGTCTGGAGAGGAGGCTCTGCTGGACATTGAGCTAGAGTCAGAATTCATTCTAGGCTTAAAAGAGGCTTTCAGTTATTCATGCAAACTTCCCTGAGGAAGATATTCGAGTGATCAAGCCTATGAAGAGATTTCTGAGAGCTCAGCAGTAGAGATGTGCTCCCTCCTTTCTCTATTAGCTACAGTAGCTCTCTCTCTCTTTCTCTCGCCTCCAGGTACCCAAGGCGAGCTGTGAATGAACTGCACAGTGAGACGAAAAAGAGGGGCATTTATAGAGCTACTTCACAGGAGACAGACAAAAGAAGCCCTCCTATCTATAATGGTCTTGTTAGGATGACGTGCTATTATTCAGGGCGGTGCGCTTTGACTGTCCCATTAAGCAAGAGGCCCTATTCATATTCATTGTGATGCCACCATGGGACATCTCGGCCATGGACCATCCGGAGCCAAGGAAACACAAAACCCCCTGACTGACAGGCTCACAAGACGCTGACCACTGCAGGGGCTACCCTTCCTGCCCCTCCCTAATGCTCAGCTTATTATGCCTGTGTTCAACCATGGATCTCCATCCCATCGTTCACTTACATCTACCTGCACCGGCAACATATTATCCTATTATCTAAAACTACAGTAATCACGAATTTATATTTCAGGGATACGGTATACTTTGTGCGTGAGTTTCTGCTAGGTAATGACCTTTCATTTATTGTGATTATTTAATCTAGATAATTATAATAAATCATTAATTTACAAACATTTATAAGTCGACAGCCTGTGGATGTGAAATAAGCAGCTGTTAGCAATAGGTCAAACTTTATCATTAAACAACCTAACTCTATCTACCTATCTATCTATCTATCTATCTATCTATCTATCTATCTATCTATCTATCTATCTATCTATCTATCTATCTATCTATCTATCTATCTATCTATCTATCATCTTGTCAAATAGTTATCGGTTTTCACAGGAAAGCTTGGAAAAAGTCTGTTGGTCGTTGTAGCCAGTTCCAGACCAGGAAAGAATGACGTCCCTTTATGTTGTATTGGTAATACAAGTATTTATTAGTTTTGTTTTTTTTGGGAAATCCACCAGAATGACTGCAGGTGAAAAACACATTGCTTCTATATACACTGCGTATCACTGCCCTGTATAGGTATGATTATCTTTATATCCATTCAGGTTATTGGCAATTCTAGGGTAAACAACAAATATTACTTACAGAAAGTTATACCAATCTGTTCATCATTATACAGAAAACCATAAAGTATAGATTAAAAAAACGCCACATGAGAGCGTTTTGTTGTTAATATAACCAAAAGTCAAACATAACAAATAAATAAGAGACAAACATGCTATCTTCCTCTAAGTGTTATTGCAGGGCACTAAAAACATTAAAAAGTAAAAAGATAGATATGTGAAATAATTTATATATCAGGCAATAAGATTAACAAATGTTTTAGAATTTACATTAAAAAGAGAGACAAGAAAGAGATATGTATAGCATATACAAATATATAGTTATGGGGATTTATTATTTTTCAGGTAATCTGAGAGGCACCACAGTCCATTACTGTTCCAGGCGGATTATATATGAATTATTTGGACCTGCTTGTATAAATGCTATCTCTCGAATGTAGCCTCGTTGATTGCATATGATTGATGTAACAATTGGTGTATGATGCCGGTGAACGGTCGCAGAGTGTCTCCAGCACAAGCTTTATGAAGCCTGCTTTGAACTAGCAAAGGGACAGGATGGTGAACTTCAACTTTTCTGATTCCCAGCAAGTGAACGGCTCAGGGTGACAATTACACATGGATGGGACAAGATAGGTTCAGTCTGATTAGTGATGTGCTTCTAATTGTAAACACGGAAAGTTTATACATCCCTATTTTTCCCTATTATCCCATAGAACAGTGATTTCTGCAAATGAAGTCAGGATGCAGTCTTCATTGCTTGCTCCTCTCGCCTCAATTTTTGATTAGCTCTGTCGGTCTGTTTCTAGTATGAATATGGATCAGCACCAATAATACCGCCCGATAACGAATCAACACTGGCTGAATTATTTAACTATTAATTCGCTGCAACAATGCTGCTTAACCATTTCACAACTGGGTTATCTTTATTCATGATGATACTGTTTCCATTTCAATATTTTTATTACATTGACGTTACTGTTTCAATATGTTTGATGTTTCAGTGTATGCACGTTTGATATTCTTGAGATTAACAGTTTTCTTCGGAAACAATAATGTTTCTTTTTTTTTGCAGGCATTGTTCAGCGGAAGAAAGGAGGAAAAAGGTCTTTACACCACTGATTTTGTTTTATAATTAGTAGCAGAAAAACAAAACAACGAAATGCCTGAGGAATAGAAACACTTATGCTATAGTGTTCTAGTTCAGGAAAGTTGTTTATATGTTTTTTTACTTTAAATAAATGTTATATATGCTGCTATGACTGTTTACTATAGTACAATAACTAGAACATGGTAGCAGACAGGAGTGGGTTATTTTTTGGAGATTGTGAAATGACATTCCTTCTCTGTTCTGTAATATATTCTTCCTCAAGTGCATGAATACATGTTAATCACAGAACGACGACAATTTTTTTAAATTTTACTTGGGCGAGCTTTACATTTTTTGCTTTAGTTTTTTTTATTACCAACTTTTTAAATGTATTTTTCTTTTTGACATTTTTACTTAAAATGAAAACTTTAATAGTATTAACAATTCGTACGTATCTGGAGGCTGCACCATCTCCGGGTATATATTTCATGTGTTCATGGCAGTCTCTGCCGTTTGTAATGTAATACTAGCAGTGACTGAATGGGAACATAGAGGACATAGAGGATGCTTATCCATGGGAAAGCTACCCCAGCTCCTGTTATCAAGACGACCACAGGCTGGTCCGAAAAGACTAAAAAGGTTTCCTGAAGTACTGCCATGCATGATCGATTCAAAATTGCATGCTCACTATATAAGTGCAACTGGTTTCTGGAAATAATCATTACACAGGTTCTTTTTTTTCTCTTTTTGCAGTATTCTGATGTGCAGACAGACACCTCCATGACTAGGCTGCAGGTCATTACAGTTTTAAGTGACACATTTTCCTTTATCTGTGTATTAGTAAACATATAATAGCTGGTAAAAGGTTAGTTTACCATTAGGGATTGGGTTACATGCAAGGTTAGCTTAGTTTAGTGTTATGGTCAGGGTGTTAGGTTTAGGTTAAGTATTAACAGAGCAGGGTAAGTGTTAAGGGTTGGGTTTAAGGGGCTACATAAGGGGTTGAGTGTTAGTAGAGAGGTTAAGGGATTGTTTTATGGGTGAAGTTAAGTTTGGAGGAGTGAGCTGGTGGTGATAGGGTCACACCACTAGCAACACCAGAAAATCCTAATGCTCTGCACATCCTTCTCTAACTTGAAAAAAAATCCCTAACGCTAAACCGCCCTCTAACATTTAAACCCTTTTAAGTGGGGTTGTTTAGTGCCTTTAGTCTCTAGGTTCTGCATTTAAACAACAAATCTTTACCCAATAATGTAATTTTAATTTAAAGCTGCACTCCAGGAAAATTGAAAAACTATCCTTGCATTGGGGTTCCTCCCACACTACATGGGTTACATACTTATTGTTGCCTAGGGAAACAGTAAAAACAAGTTTTATATACCTTATCCCTCTTTTGCTGGCAGCCAGCACTTTCCTCTTCCCTATAATGCTCTGGAATGTGGACAGGTCCTTGGCGTCTTCACTTACAATCCTGGCCTGCTGACCCTGCATTGTACATGATGATGTCATACAGGGCAGCCATCAGAAATGTTGGGCCCCTTACACGGCTTAAGGCCAGCCTCCCCCACCCCCGCGCCGCTGGACGCAGGGCTTAGTGACGCGCTGGATGCAGGGCTTAGTGATGCGCTGGATGAGGGGCTTAGTGACGCGCTGGACAAAGGGCTTAGTGACACACTGGACACAGGACCCACCTGAGAGTGACCCTGCAGATCGCACCATAGATGCTGCACAGCCCATCTGAGACTGTCTATGGTGGGCTCTGAAGGGGTCTCAGGTGGGCTGGTCAGGGCTGCATCCCTCCTTTCCTTCCTTCCTTCCTAGCTCCTCTTACCTGCACACATGGCCTCATCTGCCGCCGGATCGGCCAGAAGTGACGTCACGGCCAGTCCGACATCAGACGAGCAGCGTCGCTGATGGGGCCCTAGCTTGTCTCAAAGCCGCTGGAGCGGCAATGTTGGGGCCCTGCGCTGTCGGCCTCGCCCTTCACCGTCGGCCGATAGTCATGTAAGGGACCCGGGTGGGCCCCCCAGGCTGCCCGGGCCCCTTACATGAGTATCGGCCGTACCCCCCCTGATGGCTGCCCTGATGTCATAGTGCAACTGACAGTCTGAGAGCTGAAGAGAAGTGGCTTTGGGGGACTGGTTGCACAGGGAGGAAAGGGGGTGTGAAGCTGTGGGAGGAAGGTAAGAAAAAGGTAATGTTAATGTTCCTCTAAAGAAAAACGATGATTTCACTCATGCAGTGAGGTGGGAGCCCCACTGCAAGTATTGTATTTCATGTCCCCAGAGTTCACCTTTAAGACATATCTAAATCTGGGTCTTGGCATTTCCTGAAGCCTGCACTATTTATTATATTTTAAAAATTATGGTTACAGTATATTGAAACACTAGAAAAAGAACTTTAACGCTTACCTTCTAATCCTTTGAAAATAATCACCTTATGAATATTATTAGTGAACATCTAAAATGTTCTTTGGCAGCTCAGGAAATAATTATCTAAAAGACTAAATAAAGGTCTAAATCTGGTCAGGTGCCTATCATAGATCCTCTCCTGTGCTTTGTTTTCTTCTAAAATCTCAAGAGAGCAGTTTTTAACACTTTTACATTGTGGCTTCTGGTAAACATGTGTTAATGGTAGGTTGGACCACAAAAATTAGAATCCAAAAAAGTGAAAGAAGTTAACCCCTTTTCATGGTTGCTGGATATGTACAGTCCATGTATGTTTTGCTTCTCTGATACTGAGGAACTCAAATTCCAAATCTTAG